GTTCTTGATTTGGCTAATTGTTCTGAAACGACTTAAAACAAAGCATATATGTTAGCACAGAGGGCAGGGGAATGATAATTGATACAAACTGTGTTTTATGCTTGCAAACCCCATACAAGGAGAAGAATGCAACTCTCTAATCGGTACCGTCCTTGTCTGAAAGCGCTTTGTCCAGCTTAGCAAATGGAAGGTCTGAGGCCGTAGCAAGTAACTCCGATTACATCCGGCATTAGAGGAAACTGGCGGAGATGTAACCGGCGGGAAGAAGGTGAACGTTGGGGACTTTGGGTTGGGCTTTTGGGTTTTTGGGCCAAAGGGTTAGGTTTGTGTGAACGGTTTTTGGTTTCTCATTTTGAGCCGTCAATGTTTTTTTATTTTATTTTATTGATGGGCGCCATCAATGTAAATTTAATTTTAATAAATTGCAGTATTTTTACAATTTTGAATATTACATATTTTATTTTAAAAAGTATTATGCAATTTAAAATACTAAATATGATATTAATTGCCCTCTTTATCTAATGATTATTATTTTATTTTTATAGTTTAAAGTAGTTTAAATTCACTTTTTATTTTGCTTTCTTTTATATTACAATAACTGAACTACTATGTTTGAAAGAAAAAAATCAAACTTTTTAATCCATGTTCTTTTATTAGGAGGGATATTAAGACTTAATTGTAACAATAAATATAAAAAAATACTTTTAAACTTAACATATCAAAAATTCTTTATTATCCTTTAAGAGTCATTAACTATATATTAAATTAAATATAATGCAACCCATCTCAAAGATTTACTTGTGAGGCTGATGGTCAAAACTTTTAATTTCATCGAGGAGAATTACAATTCGAATCTCATGAGTGATATAGTTGTTCAATTTATGTCCTTCTACCATAAATATACCTTAACACATACTTTAACAACAAACTCGAATCATATCAAGTGGCACGAAATTGATTGAGCATCCAAGAAAGTTAGTGTTCAATCCTCATTGAACTCATTTTCCTTTTAAAATCTTTGTAATATTCTTTAAAAGATATTCTTTGCAACTCACCTCACAAGAGGCAGGGTGACCAAGTGGCAAATGGCTTGCTAACCCTTCATATACAAATGTATGAGAATTTTGTCCCAAGAGTTGACCCAGCCGATTTGATGGGTTATTGGTTCTCATCGGTTTGGACGGTCTGAGCGGTTTTAAGCAGTTCAATAGCTTAAACAATTTGAAATATTCACCCGACCCGTTTCTTCTACCGAGTACCGATTCAACCGATCGGTCTGGTACTTAATTGTAACAATAAATATAAAAAAATACTTTTAAACTTAATATATCAAAAATTCTTTATTATCCTTTCCTTTATTATCCTTTAAGAGTTATTAATAGATTGATCCAACAGTGGTTCATCCATCCATTGCTCTTCTGCAAGAAAGGTTCAGATAGTTGGAAAGAGCCAAGGAGATAAGGCAGGAGAAAGAGCTCTTCTGCAACTTGCATGTGAGCCCACTTCTGAAGTGATAAACCAGGTTCCCTTGGATACATTGCCTAGTCATATCAGTAACACAGAAAGAACAATAAGACGAGTTTAAAAATCATAGTGCAAAGTATCACTCAACAATTTTACCTCTGAAGGTTGTCTACGAACATCTGCATCATCCTTTCTTAGCTCAACTCTTACGAATAGATTCCTTTTCCAACTCAAGCTCACAGTTAAAGGATATACATATAGAGAATGGAAAAGCTGCAAGAATGGTTCGTTTCTCAAAGTTGTCCGAAAGTCAGATGCCTGGAGCTGCAGGTTAAAATTAAGAAACTAATTATGGGTAAACAAGTTCCACACGAATAAAAAAAAAAAAAGGTTGCATCGGTAAGAGGTATTCAAACTTCAAAGGAAGACAGAATAGCTCCAACACATATAACTCTTCATGAGAGGAGTTGCTTGGACAAGCAACATCCATATAAAGATCATTACACCACATGTAGCAT